ATTTTAACAAAAATTTTGTCACAAAAAAATAATATATAAATTTATCACAAAAGTTTAATAAAAAATATTATTATTTCAATACTAATCAATTTTGATTAAAATTAATCAAGCCTGATTAAAATTAATCAAGCCCAATTAAAATTAATTAGACCCAAACTAATCTCAAGTTTTATTAAGTTTCACATGTTTTATAGTGCAAAATTTATTTTCTTAAATATTTCTTATCGATGTAGGATATATTTATAGTGCAAAACCTTATTCTCTTATGTGCTTTTTATCAATGTGGGATGCATTGATTAGAGAAAATTGACAATTTTTAGTGATGAAATATATTTTTTAGTGATAAATTATTTGGTCATCATTGAATGTATAAGGTATATGTGACCAATATTAGAATTTTGTCATAATTATAATGCATTATAGTGATGATTTTTATCCAAAAAAACTTATTTTATCTCTACGAACATTTTTCGGTGACGAAATATATTTTTTATGATAAATTTTTTTGTTCATCATTAAATATGTATGCATCTGTGACTAATTTTTTAGATCTGTCACAATTGTGATAAGTTATAATAATAAGTTATAGTGATGATTTTAAAATTCATCACAAATTTTTATCACTAAAAATCATTTATCACTAAAAATCATTTTTCTTGTAGTGAATCATTCTCCACAACTAAATCTAAATTGTTCCCGTGGAAACATATACCAAATACTTACAATTAATCAAACATATCAAATACGAACACTAATAATTTTCACAAAAAAAATGTTCGTAACATAAAGGTACAACATTACAAATTTAAAAATAAATAAAAGTGATTTAACACCATCAAACACTCCTCAAATGCCGTCCATATGCTCTATCTAAATAGCTACTTGGACGAAAAACCATCATGAAAAAAAGGCTTAGAAATGTGGGAATTTGCCAATCAGACAACAAGAAGTAAAAAACTACAAGTAGGTATATTATAATAGCGGGTAATACCCACCACTTGTTTTCTAACATCATCACAAGAGCAAAAATGAAGGCCAGGATCATCGTTGCTATCGAAATGCTGAGGCTGGAAATGGCAAACAACATTTGAAAGGGCAGAGCTCCGCGAGGACCACTTCTTTTGTAAGTTAGTGTGAGTACACTCAGGAATCCGAAGAATGAAGTTGATGCAGTAATGAAGGACACCGCATCACACAGTAGAAACCCGGATAACTGTTTTATGTGCAATAATTTGGGTATGCCGGTCTCTTCATCGATCCCGCCAGGAACTGTAAAGAGTGCTGCAAACATAATGGTAACAATTAAAACAGATGCGAGACTATAAGATTTTGCAGTCTTCTTTCCCCATTCCTCCATATTTGTTATCAATTCCTGGTGTTCCCTGTAGAAAACTTGGTCTGGAGTTTCACCATAACGATTTTTGGCTTCATGAGACCAACATGGAAGGTATCTCTTAATCTCCTGCAATTTCATAACAGTATTAGCCTTAAAATTTAAAGTGAAAAGACAAAAAAAGAAAAAGAAAACAACAAATCTTTTCCAGAAAAACAAATCATTTTATTACTACTGACGCTCAGCAATTATTCCAAATTAAACTTACGACTCCACCAAGAGATTTAATAATCTTCGCTCCTTGTCTGTTTCTATTTTTTTTTT